TATTCTTTCGGGCCGGTTTATTATCCAATTCTCATGCTCAAAACAGCAGGAAAAATTGTTATTTATAATTTTCCAGTTATTCGATAGGTCCGGACAACCACATTGCATCTACGGGCTTTCACCTCGCGGCTCCTTATCCAAACTCCCAGAGAAGAGTGCCGGTTCCGCTGTTTCGCTGGAACTTCAAGGACGTATATCCGATATGCCGGGAAAGTGAAGTTGATTCTCATCTACGGGCGCTGGTAATTTCAATGGCTCTCTCAACAGTGAAGATATCAGAGCTCTCTTTCCACAGTTCCATGATTTCCAAGCCCCTTCGCAACAATCCCTCTCTCTCCCGCCTCCTTCACCGCCGCTTTCTTCTCCTATTCTCCACCACAGCTTCCCTCCACTTCGCGGAACGCACGTCCTGTGGAGGCGCCGGAACCGATTCTCGTCGTTCCTTCCTCCATCGAAAATCAAAATGGGACGACGACGCCTGTTTTGATGAAAATTCGAACCAGATAACCGCCACTCCCTCCTGGATCCAGCAATGGAATACCCCGGAACCCCAGACATCCCCAGCCACCCGAGATGCAGGAGGCTCCATAGACAGGATCGTCCATCGGCTTCGTAGTCTAGGTCTGGGTCTAGATGATGATGATGATGAAATGGAAGAAGTGGAGGTGAAGCCGCAAGTTCAGTTGGACGGCAGCGAGAGGTTGGGAGATTTACTTGAGCGAAGCTGGAATCGGCCCGATACCCAGTACGTGGACCAGCCGGTTCTGCCATGGGAGAGGGACGGGTATAATCAGTTCACGGAGGGAGAAGATGGGAACCAGAAGAAGAAAAAGAGGGTGAGGGCGCCGTGGCTTGCGGAACTTACCATTGAAGATTCGGAGCTCAGGAGGCTGAGGCAGCTCGGGATGACGCTGAGGGAGAGGATTAGCGTGCCCAAGGCTGGGCTCACTCAGCCTGTACTGGAAAAGATTCATGATACCTGGCGAAAGTCGGAGCTGGTGCGGCTCAGGTTCCATGAGGCGCTGGCACGTGACATGAAAACGGCGCATAAACTAGTTGAGGTTGGAGATCTTTTTTATCTTATTTTATCTATTTATATTATGATTTTTTTTTGTTGGTTTTCTGCCGACCCCATTGCAGGGACACAGAAATTAGGATTATTACAGTGTATATGCAGTTTGTTTGGGGAGTGAAGCTTTACTCTTTTTCAGGTGATTAGTTTTTCTGAAAATAAACAAATGTGATATCAGCACTCCTAAATGGCCCTTATTGTCAATCTTGTCAATGATACATGGGGATTTACTTATGGTTTTGCATTATCTAATATTTGGGAAGCTTGCTTGCGGGCATAGGATGCCATGTTTCACTTTTTATCTTGATGGGTTTTCATGTATAAATTGTAATTCAGGACAATGAATGAGCATGTTTTTTATCTCTCATGCATTCTGAATGGACATTGGTGCTCTTTTGCAACATTCTATCTAATAAATGTCATGAAAATAGACAGACTTGCGTACCTAAGGAAATTGCAAATCTTGATATGCAAAATATATGAGTTGTTTTGTGTATATTACTTCTAAATTGTTAATACATTAATTAGATACATTTATATATGGGAAAAGGAAATTTCTGTTGTGAACGTAGGTTATACAATATATAGGAGATTGAAGAATGTATGTTAAAAATAAAATCTTCAAACATTATCTAACTAGTTCGTATTTTGGGAGATTTAAGTAGTGGGAGAATGATATGGCATGGCCATACACTTTGTGTTATCTATAACTTCATTCATGGATGACGATAGTGATATCTCTGTGTTCTTATTGATTATTATACTTTCTACTAGTTGTCTTTCTTTTAGCACTTCATTTAGTGTCTTTGGATTTTTTCTTACTCATTATCACACTTCATGTATGAAAAGAAGTCTCATCTCATTTTGTAATTTTAATCAGCGTCGAACAGGTGGATTGGTTATATGGAGATCAGGCAGCGTGATGATAGTTTATCAAGGAAGCAACTATAAACGACCTTCCAAGTTCCAAATTTCTCAAATTGAAGTGAACTCAAATAAGATACTAGATGAAGATGATCAACATTTTGTTCCAGATATTTCGAGTGCTACTATGTTATCTAGTGAAAAAAGAGACCATGATTCATCTTCAAGTTCAAATCATATCAAACCATTTCAGATTATCAGAAAGCCTGTTGAAAGCATGACCGAGGAGGAAGCAGAGTACAATATATTACTTGATGAATTGGGCCCTCGTTTTGTTGATTGGTGGGGAATTGGGATATTGCCTGTAGATGCTGACTTACTACCTCAAACTGTTCCTGGATTTAAAACTCCTTTCAGACTTCTTCCAGTGGGAATGCGTTCAAGGCTTACTAATTCGGAGATGACAGATCTTCGCAAGCTTGCGAAAGGACTTCCGTGCCATTTTGCCTTAGGTATTGTTCATTCTAAGGTTTGAAGTGTAGGCTATGATTTTTACTTGATCTTATGGACCTCTTGAGTTTATGGTTGTATCTTGATGAAGGGAGAAATAGACACCACCAAGGTCTGACGGTTGCCATACTGAAGCTTTGGGAGAAGAGTTTAGTTGCCAAGATTGCCATCAAGCAGGGAATTCAAAATACAAATAACAAACTAATGGCTGAGGAACTAAAGGTAGACAGTCTATGAGATTCTCCCTTATTCCAATTTATTTGATTTGTTATTTCAAGTTTGCTTTCGTTCTATTTTATAAAATTTTCTTGCCAAACCTAGTGCGTAATGCATATGCAACAAAAGTTTGCTCTTGAATTCTATTGACTCTACCATTCATTTTTAATAAAAATCAATATTGTTAATTTTTTTAAATGAATGCTCTTATACTTTCACCAAATGATCTTATTTCTATGCAACATGTTGTAAGGATACAAAATGGAAAAATCTTTGAAAATTGTTATATGGACATAACAACGCATATGACATAAAACTTGCACATATATGCAGACATTCACATGTAAAACGAACAAATATATATTTATTTATTTTTTGTGCCTATGCATAATGTAGACATTAATTTAGGGCCAATTTGGGTAGCATTTTTGGCACGGTGTGTTTTGAAAATGTGGCTGGGAATGTTTGGAACTAGTGGCACGGTGACGTTCCTAAATAATCTGTCTAAAAAGCGGCCCTGGGTTCGACCCTGAGACCCGCGTTTCTTTATGTATATATTACCCTGCTGCCCCATGGCTCCCTCTCTTGACGTCTTGGCTCTCTCTCTCGCTTTTCTTTTTCCTTAGCTATCTCTCTCAATTGCTCTCGCAATGTTTTTACTCCGCTGCCTAGGTATCTTGTTTTTCTCTCACGTCTCTCGAGCGATCTCTCCGGTGGCAACTTGCCTTTCTCCTCTCTCTTTTTCAACCATTCTCTGGTTATTATGCATTGTATGTAATTCATGTGCTCATATTTGATGGAATGACTTTCTCTTTGCAATTTGTGGCTTTCTCATTTGCGATATATAGGGTTTTGTGAGAATTTTGTGGAATCGACCTTGAACTTTCTCATTTTGTGGCTTTCTCATTTTTTTTTGTGGTTATTATGAGAATTTTTGCTAATTTTGTGATTTGTAGGGTTTTGTAGAATGGTGTTTCGAGTGTTCTGTATGTAGATAACACTATTTCGGGTGCCCTATATGTCACTGCTTCAATTGAAAAATGGATGAAAGTGAGAGATTGATTTGTAGATAGCACTGTTTTTGTGCCTTATATGTCACTACCTCAATTAAAAAATATGGAATGTAAGATGCACTGTTTCGGGGGCCCTATATGTAGATAGCACTGTTTCGGGTGCCATGTATGTAGATAACACTATTTCGGGTGCCTTGTATGTAACCAGTGAGAATTTGAAAAATATGGGTGCCCTATAAATAATGTTTTGGTTGCTTGATTTTTGAGCGATAATTTGAAAAATATGGAGTTGTGTTTTATCTTTTCTCCTCTAATTTTTGAGTGAGAATTTGAAACATAATGAAAGTTAGTGCTTGATTTGTAGATAACAATGTTTCCGGTGTCCTGTATGTAATTTTCTCAAATGAAATATATGGGCAGTGGTTCTACCATCATCTTTGATGTTTGTGTGAGAATTTGAAAAATGGATGAAAGAGGGTGTTGACTTTGGTTGTAGGTTGTGAGGAGGTGATGGTGTGTTGTGGGGTAACGTGATATGGAGGTGGTGAAGTAGTGTGTTGTGCTAATTATGTTGGTTGTTTGTGGCGTTGAGGTGGCGGTGTATGGTTTGAAGAAAGTGGTGTGGTGTGGTGTGGTGCTGATTATGAGGTAGTGCTAGTGGTTGACGTGTGGAGGTGGTGGTGTCTGTATGGTGGTGTTGGTGTGTGGTTGTGGAGGTGGTTGTTGGTGTGTGGTTGTGTTTGTGTGCAGGTGTTTGAGTGTGGAGGTGTTGGTGTGTGGAGATGGTGATGGTGGTGTGGTGGATGTGTTAATGTTTTGACATGCTGGTGTGTGGAGGTGTTTGTGTGTGTAGGTGGTGGCATTTGTGATGATATTGTGGCATTCCTATTTATATTAATTGATTTCTAGGTTTAGACAAAAGATGTTGGTTCATTTGCAATGTGGGATAAAGAGACAAATAATATTTTGCGACCTTTGCCTATAGGAGGTCGAACTGGGAAATAACCCGACAACCTATTTCAATAATGAAGGGTGACAAAATACTATTAAAAAATTCAATGAAAGTACAGACAAATAGTATGATAAGATGCAATTAAAAAACAAGTAAGATCAACTAGGAGGTCGAATTGGGAAATAACCTGACAACCTATTTTAACAAGGACGAGTGACAAAATTCTATTAGAAAATTCAAAGAACGTATAAACAGATAATATGATAGGATGCGGTTAAAAAACAAGTGAGATCAACTAAAGAATGTTTGAAAAATCTGAAAGGAATTGAACCGAGGATCAACGGACTTATGGTGGGATACAATAAAGCAAATGATTGATGCTTCCGAGGAGTGGCGGGCAGAGAGACTGGAGTCGAGCATTTTCGAAATGTCCCATATTATTGTCAATCTTTGGTTTGTTTTCAAAACCAACATGTTATATGAATTTCTAAGTGGTGTCTGCCGCAAAAAAAAAATTAAATACAATGGATTGGATCCTGAATTAGAGAAGTTAGATCAGATGTTTGGAGGTGCCGTGACAATGGACAACAATGAATGTGCCTTCAGTGAAGCGGGGGTTTGGTGGCATCCCCAAAATTTGGGAGCTGATAAAAGAAGTGATTCTAATGAAGGCCGCAGTTTGGACCTTCATGGAGTTGAGACCACGAGCTGGTGAAATCGTCCCCAGGTTGAATAGAAATAAGTGGGGAGCTGCTTTCCTTACAAGTCAGATCTCACAATTGGTGGCTTTATGAATCAATAACCCTGACTCATCACAAATAACTTCTGTCCAGCAAGTTATGCGAATTTTGGATGCAACTCCATAAATTTATGAGGACATATTGCTGTATTTGTAATTTATAAAGTTGCTCGAAGATTCGACCCGGAAAGAGTTTTTTGTAACGATGCTTGCTGACCATAGGCTGACTTATCTACGTTTTTTATGGGAGCAGTGACATTTAAGGGACAAATATTAGATTTATGTTGAACATTTCATATTTGTTATTTATTTATTTATCTTGGAAAATTTTATTTATTTATGATTTTTCATGTTGCATTCGATATTTTTCTTGCTTTGGACATGCCACTTTACTTGAGAGTTTTTTATTCCTCGTTATGTTTTTCATTTACTTCTATAATATTATTTGCTTATGTTGGTTTTGTTCATAACCTTATTTGATTATAACTAATTTATTGATGCTTATGTGTTAGTCACTTTAATACCGTAATACATGGATGCAAATAAGGAAAGGCGTAGAAGGAGAGGTCAAGCTGCAATATGCTTTATATGATTATTTTAACTCATATTGAGCTCTCCCCTTGCATGAGATCTTTATATGTTGGTGGCAAATGGGTTAGAGAGTTGATTGCGGGCTACCCAACGAGAATTAACAATATGTTCCGCATGACACAGATAATATTCATCGATCTGTTGGAAGAACTACACAGAGTCATTGATTTCATGACTCATCCAAACACGTCACGAGAGATGGTGACAATAATTCTTTACATATTATCATGTAATAAATCAATGTGATGCGTTATGGAGCCATTTCAACATTGTTCTGAAACGATTTGAAGATACTTCTCAATAGGATTGAATTCACTTGTCACTTTTTCTTCGCAAGTCATAAATCCTTCGAATGGATCGCCATAGAGATTTTGCATGATGCACAGTATATCCATACTTGAATATAATTTCTTATTTTTACTACATCCAATTTTCATATAAATATCGTACTTACGTTACCCTTCGTTATCTTTCTGGAATTGTATTGGAACAATCGATGAAATACATGTTGATGCATGTGTTCCAAATAATGAGAAAATCACATTCATCGGCCGTTGTGGGTCCCCGACATTGAATATAATCGCAGTATGCGGCTTCAACATGTGTTTCACTTTTGTCATGACCGATTAAGAGGGAAGTGCACCTGACAGTCGAATTTTTAAATCTGCAACATAGAATAACAATTGCAACTTCCCACATCCACCCACAGGTTCTCTTGAGACAAAGCCACTTTGATAATTCTTTTTTCCTTCAACATTAATCATTTAATTCATATCAGGTAAATAATATTTGGACGATGATTGATATCCGTTGCAGCGAGGGTATCTCAATCCCTATCTTGATACGAGATATCACATGTCTGATTTTGAGCTATTCAGCAATGTCATACGGGGTAAAAAAGATATGTACAAGAAATGACATTCATCCTTACACGGTGTTATTAAAAAGATCTTTGAGAAAAAGAAATGGGTTATACTTCGCGATATGCATCTTACTCGTTTCCCAAACTGATCAAGATTGTGATTACCATAATGACACACCACAATTATATTCGGCGGCATAAGGATCAACATGTCTCCATCGAGGCATATGTGTACCGTCTGTCAGGCCGAAAATGATGTTCCCGAGACCTGTACTAAAGACGGGGAATGTGCAAGCGAGATAACAGAGTTGAGAGATTCAATTATGGATGCGATAGTTGGAGGGTGATTGGAGTTTTTATTATATTATTAATTGTAATTGTTGTTGAAGAGATTCACTGTTTATTGTATTAGTATTTTATATAGTTCATGTTTATTTCCATTCCTTGTGTATTTGATATTGATTGTTTTAGTTTTTTATGAAATTTTTAAGTGTCTTTTTTCCTTTTGCATTTTTTCTTTGTGGATTTTAGAGGTCTATGATGAGACATTTGACTTTATGAGTTATTCTAGATGACCTATATGTCGCTATTGGTTGGTGACATTTGTGAAATCATAATGAAGGCAACCAAACTCTTTTTTTTTTTTGACTCTATGGTTTTTGAGGTTCTTCTGAATGACCTTTTTTGTTGATATGCATATGTGACACAAACGAGCTTGGTATTATGTGGTTTAAAGACAACAAAGAATTTTTTTTTATAAGGTCTGATGTCTTCCTATAGTGACAGATTCGTTGGTTTATATACTGAGTTCTCTGACACCTCATGCATAAAATTATAATTAATTACTTT